CTGCGGCAGGGCTAGCGACGTCCGCCGCCGCTGGCCCACCAGGCCCAGCCGCGCCCCGACTCCGGTGGCCCCGGTCGCTCCGCGCGTCTTGCCGTGACCGCTCACACGCTCCTCCTTCCGTCCACTGCCACCCTCGTCCTCGTCGTCGACAGAGACCACCGCGTGGATGACGTACAGCAGTCGCACCGGGAACATCCGCGCAGAGCGGTGGATCTTGGCCCGCGCCACGGCGCCGGCGAGAAATGCCTTCTCGTTCGCCACGTCGACACTCGTGTAGTGCGCGTCGGCCTCGTTGAGCCACTGGAAGCAGACCGTGCCACGGCTCGGCGCCCCGAACCCGTCTGCCGGCCCGCGCCCCACCAGCCAGTCAAGCGTCGAAAACGCAGGTGTGCACCCGTCGTCGTACGGATCAAAGTGCTCCGAAAGGAAGCCGTGGACGTGGCCTAGCTTTTGCAGCAGCCGCGCGTTGAAAAACGGCACCAGGTTCTTCTCCCGTCGTAGCGAGAGAAAGTACGCCAACAGCTCAAACGACGACGGCTGTACCTCGGCCTCGGCCTCAGCCTCAGCCTCCCGCCGCCGCACCATCGCAATGTCTGACCGCACAAACGCCGGCAATGCCTGCACCTCTAACAGCTCCGTGTCCGTCCCCAGCCGCGTCGACAGCCGCGCCAGACTCGCCCGGCTCGCACCAATCGACGCCGCCAGCGAGAGCAGGCCAAAGAACTCATCGTCGCCGCTCCGCCCAGGCGCAAACGCCTCCACTTCCGACATGCTCTTCATCGCCCGGAGCACCGCAAGCGAGAGCACACTCGACCGCGCGTACTCAAAGTCAAAACCGGCGCCAGTCTGCGTCAGTTCGACTGCGTTGGCCAGTGCCCATCGCGCGAGCCTAAAGCATGCCCCGCGCACGTCGGTCTGCGGATACTTGGGCCCAGAAATGTGCTGCACCGTGTTCGTCTGCGTCAGCGTCCGCGTTGTGCGAGCCCGCGAGCCAGCTCGCGAGCCCGCCCGGGACAACGACCGCTCACCGCTACCCACACCGCCGCTCGCTGCAAGCGCGATGAGGTCGGTGATCGACCCACCGCGCCGCATCGCTGACGACCCAAACACCGCACCCTCGTCGTCCCAGTGCTCCAGCACTGCCACGAGCACACGCCCCATCACCCCATACAGTGCAACCTGCTCCGTCGTTTCGCGCGAGAGTGAGAGCGATGCCAGCTCCAGCGACTTGAGGCACGCACGCAGCGCAGAGTCTTGGTGGAGCAGCCGGTGGTACACAAACGCCACACGCGTCGAAACACGCAGCCCGACCGCAAGGTGGGGGTGGTATCGCCCAGCGCGTCCGGTCAGACCGAGCTGCGCTTCGCCGCCACTCTTGCCACCCGAGTGGTGGCGGAACGCGGCAAGGATCGCATCCAGCTCATCCGCGTCCATCCGCAGCACAGCGAGCGAGAGGTCATGAGCGCCCACATACGATCGCAGCGCGTCCACAGTTGTGTTGCGCGAGTACTGGATGTCGCCAAGGAGCGAGCAGGCATACACCCGAAGCTCCATCGGTAGCTCATCCTGCTCCACAAGCTGCTCCAAACACGCAATTCCGCCCTCCACATCGCCCTCCAGCACAGCAACAACCCCGGTCCACAGCATCAGTCGCGACTGTTGCACAAGGTCGCGAACAGACTTGGCGTCCATTAGCCCTTGAGCACACTCGCGTCGCGCCTCGCTCACCCGTCCGCTCTGCACAAGCAGCCGCGCAAGCTGCGTTCGGCACCGCAGCCAGAGGCACACTCCGCTCACGTCCACACCCACAACCTGCCGCACCTCGCTCGAACTGAAGCTACCAGACTCGGTCCCGCCGCTCTCGCCGCTCTCACCGTCGCTCCTCTCGGCAAGGTCGTCGCCAAGCTCGTACCTCTCGCGAGCAGGCGCTACAGAGGCAAACGCCTCAATCGCGGCCAGTGCAGCCCGCGTCGCACTCTCAGCACGCATCGAGTCGAGTCGCTCCTCGGCCACGGTTGCTAGCACAAGGTGCGCGCCTACCCGGGTGTTGCGGACGTAGAACGGCGAAAAGCCTGGCGCCTCGCGTGGGACATCTTCTCCAGCCACTCGCTCGGCTTCGCCTGCCTCACCCAACCGGGTGAGCAGCGCTGTCGCCTGTGCCTCGGCACGTGTCAGCAGCCACGTATGCAGTGTCTCGGCCGCTGCCATCGGCACACGCATCTCTGCATACACATTTGCAGGATGGCTGGGTCCCGAGCTTTTGAGCTGCTTCACCACAGCCGCCGCTTGCGGTGCAGCCGCCCGCGCCGCAGCTGCCGCAGCTGCTGCCGAGGTTCCGGTCGTCGATCCCCGTCGTGCGCCACGCGCACCCGCCGCACGCCGCCGCCGCGTGCTTCCGCTCACACCTGCATTCGAGCTCGTGCTCGCGCCCGAGCTGCTCTTGCTCGGCACCTCAGCCTCGGTCTCGGCGGCTGGCTCCCGCCCCGCCCGGCCATGGCCTGCCTTGCGGCTTGCACGCAGCGCTACCTGGACGGCGCTCATGTCGACCTGCTCCAGTGAGTGCACGCTGGCCACAAGCTTTTCCCACTCGCTCGCAGCCGACGGGCCACCGGACGCCTCGGGCGCCAGCCACTCCTTACCGACCGGATCGACGCCGAGCGCAAACAAAAGCACCTCGACATCGTCGCGTGCCTCTTCCGGGAGCAACGGCGCGCTCACCTGGCTGCCACCAACGCTGCGCGCCAGTTGCAGAAAGAGCTCAGACCGGACACCATCAAACTCGCTCGCGCATTGCCACCCGATCTTGGACCGCACCTCCGGCGGGACTACCACCGCCGCCAGCCGGTGCACAAGAAGTGCGTTCGGGACCCCATGCGGCGGTACCATCACGTTGTATGCACCCTCTAGGAAGCTCGCCTCGCCCGCGTCAAACGCGGCCTTGACACTAGCTGGCACTTCCGCGAGTGCAGCCTCCAGGAGCGGGCTCTCCAGCCCGGTCTCGCCCAGCGCCTCTTTCTCGTACTGCAGCCGACTCGCGACCGACGATCCCACCTGTGCAGTCGCACCAGGTAGGCCCTCGCCGCGCGCCAGTGCAAACAACACCGCCATCGCCTCGCCCATCCGCCCGAGCCCAACTAGCGCTCGCGCTTGCAGCAGCGCCGCCCGCGCCGCAAGCGTCGCGCTCGGACACACGTCACGCGTCAGATACCGCAAAAGGACCACCACAGGCCCAGCCTCCACAAACGCCTCCTCCACCACCAGCACCGACGCCACAAACTCAAGCGCGCTCGCCACGTCCGGGCCACTCGCAACATGCGGGTCTTCAAACGCGTTAGCCGGCAGAGACACGCCGTCAAACTCAAAGAACGCCGCCAGTCGCTGCGGATGTGTCGATGCGTGCTGAAACAGCGTGCCGGCAAGCACTGCCCCGAGCAGGCACAGCTCCCGCCGCAGATGCATGTCATCGTATGCCACAAGCCGTGCCGTCTTGGCCACAATAACAATGCCCAGCAGCGCAGAGCGCGGCATGTTGGCCAGGAACGCCGACGAGTCGGCACCTCCACTACCGCCATCCACAAGCTCCCGCAGCGCGACTCGCCATTTCTGGAACGCCTGGTGCGCCGAGAGCAGGTGGTCAAGTGCATCAAACCATGCTCCGGCCGCCTTGCTCACCTTGCCCTCGTTGAACAACACGTCGCCAAACTCGGAGAACGCCTGCGCAAGCAGAAACGGCTCCCGCTTCCGCTCAAGGTACTGGATGGTCTTGGTGTAGAGTCCGATAACGCGCTCAGCATCCACGTCCTCCACGGCGTGCACTGCCGCTGTCCCAAGAGCAGACTCGGCAAGGCCCGTGACCCGCCCGCGAATGTAACGCGCGGCCTCAATCCGCGCATGCGTTAGCCGTTTCTTCGCCAGCGACAAGTCGCGCTCAAGCTCGCCATACGCCCGGGAGTATGCCTCCGCCTCGGCACGGTGACCGAGCGCCGCACTTGCCTCAACAAGCAGCGGCAGGAGCGAGATGGCAAAGCTACCGTCGGTCAGCGAGTTGACCAGCGAGCCGACCTCGACCACCCGCGCCATCCGCCCGGCGCTGAACGCCATCTGCAGCGCAAGGTGCATGAAGCGCATGACTTCGTCAATGTCGAGCTCGCTCGGCTCAATACTTTCAAACCATGCCGGCTCCGGCGCAAGCGACGAGTCGGTCGTCGCTCCCGACGCAACAGACTGCTCGCCATCGTCGTGCCATACCGCAGACCGCGAGCCGGTCACATGCCGCAGCGTCGCCGGAAGCCTCGTACCACCAAGCACAGAGCCGCCACTCCTCACATGTGCCAACAGCTCGCATAGCACATACGCGGCCGACAGCAGCGCGTCAGCTACACATCCTGCTGTGGCAGGCGAGACAAGTCCCGGCACAAGCAACTGCACGCTGTTGCGCAGGGCGCGGCACGCGTTGAGCAGCACAATCCACGATGACGACCGCTCAGCAAGTACCGCGGCCCGCTGGAGACACGCAGTCACATCCTGGACTGTCGGCACGCCGGCCTCCGCCTCGCTCTCGAGGGCGGCCACCGCAAACGAGCCCGCACTGGGTGCTCCCGAGCCTGTCACCCCACCGCTACTCGAACCACTGCGCTGTGTGCCAGTTCGCGACGACGATCGCTTGGTGGTTGACGACCCAGGGGCGTCACCGTTCGGCTTGCTTGGTGACCCGACTTTGGCCTTCCATGCGGTGAGGTCGTATGGGTCGAGCGTATGGTCAGCGTCGACCGCTGACTGTCTCTCATCCGCGGCAACGACCCGCCCGCTTTCTTTGCAGAGCGTGACAACCACGTCCGCCTCGAGCTCAACAATAGTGCCAAGCGAGGCGAGCGAGAACCACTTGTCCCATCCACGACCATCGCTTGCGTCGGCAGCAGCCACTTCAGCGGGGCGCGCGAGCGCAGACACCACAGGCGCGCGCACAGGCTGCGGAGCGTCGACCTCGTCAGGCTTCTTGATAGCAGCCGGCACCGCCTCGCCCTTGCGCGAGGCGGCCATGCTGCCGCCGCCACTACCCGAGCGCGAGCCGCGCACTCGCCGTGATGAGGTCACAGGCCCCCCCAGCTGGCTGGTCGACGACCCGAGGTTGCCGTCCGAGCCACCGCCCGCAACGCCTGTCCGTGCATCAGCCTCGCGCCAGAACTGTACCGCCGACGCCGGTGGCTGTGGCATGGTAGCCGCCTGCCGTGCCCTCGTTGCGAGTGCAAGCTTGGCCAGCCCATGGACCATGCTCAACTCGGCCCGCCACGGCGCCTCGCCAGCCCGCAGCGTGCGCCACTCTCGCCGCTGCCGCGACCGCTGCAAGAAGAGCGGAATGTAGACTTGCAGTTGCCGGACTGCGGCCTCGCGGGCAGCGATCGCTTCTTGAGTCATAATCTCGTCGTCGAGGCCCGCGCCGATGTCGGCAGCGGCGGCATGGCTTGAGCTTCCGTGCGAGCTCCGCTTGTGTCCGCCGCTTGTCGGCGCCTTGCTAAGCGTCTCGCGCGCGAGCTCGTGTGTCCGTGCGTGCTCCGCCTCAACCGCCGCGTCGCGAGCCGCCAGCGTGGCGCGAACGGCGTCGCAGATGCTGTTTGCCAGGGCAGCGTCGCCGCTCGCCAGAACCCGCCGCGCGAGCCGCGCACCAAACTCGACGTACCGCGGATGGTCCACAAACCGGCTCTGCAGCTCGACAAAGAGTTCTTTGGACGGCGAGCTCGCCACCGCCTTGAGCAGCCCGGCCACGACGTCCTCATCGCGCGCACCGAGCTCCGATGCCCGGTATAGCACAGAGAGTGTCGGAACGGCACCGATCTGAAAGTAGTACTCCTCAAGGGCGCGAACTACCGGAGGGAGCTCAGCGGCGATGGGGACGACATCCGCAGAAGGCGGCGGGTCTCCGCTGCCGCGCTGGTTATCGATAAGATTACTTGCACTCGAGCTGTGGTCGTCTCGCCCGCCCCGGCGGCCCCGCGACCGCGCACCGCGCGCGCCGCCAGACGCCTCCCGGCGCTCGTTCCGGTCGCGGCGAGTAGAGCCTCGCGGCTGCTCGGCGACGCTGCCACCGGCTTTGCCTGACGAGCCCGGGCGTCGCGGCTCGGGAGTCTTCTCCGGTGCCATGCTGTTGTACACCCGCGCGTCACGCGACTGCTCGAGTGAAGCCAGGTACGCCGCCGCTGCAAACTCGCCAGCATCAAGCAGCGCATTAGTCACATGGAACGCGATCGGCTTGCGGACCTCGAGCAGCTGGTCGAGGTGCTCGGCGAGAATGGGTGCATTGAGCGGCAGCGCAAGCATGGCGTCGTATACCCGCAGCAGAAACGCAAGCAGCACCGGGGGGTACGGCTTACGCTCGAGGAGCGGCGCAAGTGCGTTAAACGTCCGCACCGCAGCCTCGGTAACGAGCGCATAGTCGGAGACCAGCGTGCCAAGCTGGATTCCAAACAGCAGGTTCGACGCAGTCTGCAGTCGGTACAACTCGGACGAGAGGAGCGGGAGCGACGAGCCCGGGGCGTCCGAGCCAGCCGCTGCTGCTCGGGTTGTCTGCATTCGGGCCTCGGTCAGCCGCAGCTCGCGGGTGTCGAGCTCGGCGAGCCGGAACAGCGCGAGCGCAAACGAGCGCAGCAGAGATTCGGACGCCGACGCCACAACGTGCGGGACAAGTGCTCCCGGGTGGATGCTGTCATCGGCACGAGAGGGGGCAAGTGAGCCGTCCGACGCCGTGAACGCTCCCGAGGACTTGTCGAGCGCGCCACCCAGCTCCGAGTTGGCGGTTGTGTTGAGGAGGCCGATGCCGGCCGAGCCACCACTGCCGGCGTCAGGCGTATCGAACGAGACAAAGCGGGCAAAGAGCTTGGCCGCCGCGTCACGAGTTGGCCCGTACGCCCGCAGCACAAACGCTGTCTCCACAAACTCGGTCCAGATGTAGTCAAGCGGTAGCGGCATGCAGGTGACCAGCTCACCAGTCGACGCCGATACCGCGCCCGAGACAAGATTGCCACTCGCGTCCTCGGCCGCCATGGCAAAAGCGTAGCCGGTGTTGGCCTTGAGGTTGCGAACAACAAAGAGCGGCGGCGGCGCGCCGGCCTTGGTTGCAATCCGCACCCCGGTCCCCTCCAGCTCAGTGTTGGAGGCCGCGACCGCAGTGCCGGCGCCAAACGGCTTGCCGTACAGCACATAGGAGGCGATGGCCGACGCGTCAAACGCCGACTCGTCGAGCCGCGGCGGCCGGAGCGCCATCGACGTCGAAGTGCGGTAGACAAGGAGAGGCGGCGGAAGGACCGGCTTGCCGCGCACGCTGCGGCTCTTGGTAGGTGACGATCCGTACGAGCCGCTGGGATCGTGGACCGCATACAGCATGGCCTTTTCGGCCTCGCGTGCCGCCTCGAGCGTCGATGCCGCCTCCTGCAGGAGCGACCGCTGCTCGCGCTTCGACTGGTGGACCTTGGCCAGTTCCATCAGAACAACGGCGCGCCGGTACAGGTTCTTACCAGTCTCACCAAGGAGCCGCGCCTCAACAACCAGGTTGTACTCGCTCGAAGCAACCATCGAGAGCGAGCCGCCAGTGACCGAGCGGAGCGAGTTGAACGATGCCGACTGCTGGATGACCCGCGCTTGCGCCTGCGAGCTTGATCCGCGCTTGCCCGACGAAGGGACCGAGGTGCCCTTGCCGCTGGCGCCGCGCTTGCCGGACCGCAGCGTTCCGCCGTCGGTCGACGCAAACGTCGAGAACGAGTGGATCGAGCCGATGGTTGAGCCGGTCGCCCCACCCTTGCCGTGTTGCGCCGGCAGCGCCTGGATGCCGACCGCGAGCGTTGCCCGCGTGTACAGAATGATGAGGTCCACCTCGAGTGTGCCCAGCCGCTGCAGGTAGAGCGGGAGCGGCTGATCGGGACCCAGGGTCGGTGCGTCCATCGACATCGACAGCGTCGGGTGTGACTGTGAGACAAGCAGTGCCTTTGAGCTGTTGATTGCCGCTAGCGCCGGCCGCACCGCCTGGCGAACCTCGCGGAGAAAGCCTGCCTCCTCCAGCCGGAGTCCAAGCTCAAGTGCGATCGATCCACAGAGAAGCTGGTCGTAGAACTCGAGCCCGAGTAAGGTCTGGTGGATGGCCGAGAGGACAAAGATGTCAAAGTCAGGCGAGAGCACCGCCGCCGCTGCCACCAACCCGGCCCCGGCCTGCTCGGCCTCGGCCTGAGCGCCGCGGACCTTGGCTGAGAGCTCGAGGTATTGCGAATGGAGAAAGAGCGCAACGTCGAGCAGAAGCGCAGCGTGGTCGACCACCGCTGCAGACGCCGGGCTCACCCGTCTAGAGCCGTGTGCAGTAAAGCACGACGACAGCGAGATGGCGATTTGCTGCAGCAGTTGCAACCGCTGTGCAACCGGCGGCTCACCCACTCCCGTGCCTTGGCCTGTAGGCGTAGGATTCGGTGGTGTGGTGCCGCTACCGGCTTGCGAAAGCGCACCGAGGCGCGGGAGCGATCGCATGCCGGCGCGGCGCGGCGTGGTCGGCCGCCCGCTCTTCGGCGAGCGCGGCGGCCGCGGAAGCGAGGACGTCTTGGGTGAGTGTGGCGACGGGCGCGGCGAATGCGGCTCAGGCGTGAGTCCGGTCAGCGCCTTTTGAATGGCGGCATGTGACGGCTCGACTAGCGCCGCACCGCTGCGGTATGAGTAAACACATCGAAGCAAGTCTAGACGAAGGGTCGCGGCGTTGTTGATGGCGCCATCAGCGGCGGCGCTCGGCACCGCCGCCCATCCACGCAACGGCAGCAGATGCTCCGGGAGGAGCGAGTCAAACTTGAGCCGCACAAAGGCAGAGGTCCAGAGCCGTGAGAAAAACTCCCACTTGACATGCTGGAGCGCGAGGTCGATGATCGCGAGATGGGTCTCAATGCCAAAAAGAGTTGGAATGAGGAAGCTGGACGGGAGCTTCGGGACCGCCGACGACGACGATGTGCCCGAACGAGACGACTTGCTGGCTGTAGTAGCCGAGCCCGTGCTTCGCGGTGTCCGAGAGCCTGTCCCACGCCTCGAAGCCTTGCTTGACGAAGTCGGGCGCGATGCGGTGCCGGGCCGCGAGCTCGGCCGTGTCCCGCTGGATGACGGGCAGGCGGTTGCGAGGCCGGCGTCCTCGCGCGTTGCGGTCGGCGCGAGCCATGCCGCGAGAAGCGGAGAAGTGATTATGTCAAGGACATCAAGGAGACGTGAAGCAACGTTTGCGCGCGCCTCGTCGAGCTTGGGCGTCGCCAGCGGGCGTGCGTTCGGCTCGGTGAGACCATGGACAACGGCTGCCACCATCGCTTTGCCCGAAGGAAACATCGAGGCAAGCACTATGGCAAGCGCGGTCGGGTTGGCCGCAGAGGCAAACAGGGTGCCTACTTTCTTGGCTTCCGAAGTATCATAAAGCCTGATCTTTGCGAGACCACCGTCTGTCGCTGACGACGACGCTGACGCCGAGCCCGAGTCGTGCCCGCCGTCACGACCAGAGCCTGGAGCCGAGCTGCCACCGTCGCTCCGGCCGGCTGCGGACGAGCTTGTTGCAGCCCCGCGCGAACTGCGCTGCGATCGCGACGAGCGCGACGCACGGGAGTTCGACCGCGGCGACGGGTGAAAGCGTTCTGACGAAGTCGCATCTGCTGCCGAGAGTGAAGTCGGAATGGCATCGTTCTCACCGAGGCCGAGCAAGTGCTTGAGCGCCTGTCGCCGCGAAGACGACAGCGCCGTGAGCTTTGGTGAGGAGCGCGACCTAGCCGGCGGGTGGCGAGCGCGGCGACTGCAAGCGACGGTTCATGCAGCAGATACTTGAGCGAGATGGCGAGAAGCCGAGCAGCAGCATCGTCAAAGGCAGCCAAGGTCGAGGCAGGCGGCGGCACCAAGTCGGAGCGCTCGAGCTCTTCCAGAAAGTGCAGCCTGTCGATGGCGCGAGTGAGGGCGGCCGAGGCGGCCGAGTAAGAACCAAGGTCTTCATACGCCTCGACAATAAAGATGTAAATGGAGATGCGCCAAGCCAGATTTTCGACAGCTAGAGTGTCGACTCGGGCCTCGAGCGCCGTGGCGGCGTAGAGGGCAAAGTCGAGGACATGGGCAGTAAGGCCGAGCGCAAACGGGCGCTGAATCGACCGGTAGAGGAGAATGGTGCCATTGAGCGTGAGCCAGGTGAGCGCAGGAGAGACAAAGGTTACCCGAAGCGCGGTCTGCATATCGATGAGCGCGGCGCGGACGTCGGCAATGGTCTCCGGCCGCATGTATCGCGGGTCGACGAGCTCCGCGGCTACGATGGCACACTGTGCTGCACCGTAGCTGGCTCGGACAGCCAGTTCGGCTTCCGATGGTGCAGCACCGGCCGCGTCAGGGCGACTTACCAGCGGTGGCGTGGCCAGCGTTGCCGACGCGCCGGCCGCAAGCTGCGAGCGCGAGGCCGTCGCCGCCGGCGGCACGGCCTGAGTCGCCTCGGACGGCGAGCGGGTGAGGACGGCAATCGAGTGGGCGACAATGTCCGAAGGCGGCCCGCCCCGCGGTGTCCGCATGTCGGTGGCAGCTTGCTTCGGCCGCGGCGCAGCCACGGCGGTGAGGTAGCCCTCGGCGGTTGAGTAGACCCGCTCGATGACGGTGCGGACCTCGGGGTGCTCAAAGAAGAGGCGCAGCGCGGCGTGGGCATGCCCGCCGGCCAACAGCCGCTCACCGGTAGCAACCAAGACCGAGACAAAGAAGGCCTGTGGGACTTTGGGCGGAGCCATGGCTTCCAGAAGGCCCGTCATCCGCAGCGAGACCGAGTTGCGCAGCGAGGCGTCGGCGCCGGCCGCCTGGAACGACCGCACGTACTCGTCCAGCGACGCCGCAAACGTCTTGCTCGCCGCAGCCTGGTACCGGTCGGTCCCGGCATGAACCGGCCCGCCTCCTTCGTTGTGCTTCTTGGGCGGCAGTTTTCTATGTGCCACGTCGTCCGTGCCCTGTCGAGGTGGGGAGACGTGTAGCGCCAGCCGCCGCGTGGTGGTGTGGCTGGCGCGAAAACCGGTGGCCGGCCGGCTGCCCGCCCGCCAGGACGGACCCAGGGGGAAGGCCTGGCGCCAAACGCAACGCCGTGGCGGCATCACGCGCTCGGGCAGCGGGTAGTCTTGGAGGAGTTTACGGCTTTGACGCCTTGGATGGTGGTCGCGCCCTGTGAAGGTACAGCTCGCCCCAGGCCGGACTTGGCCGGCAGGCAGGCCCGACAGGGCAGGAGATCGTGAGAAGCTGCCGCAAGTAGCTGCATCACGAGTACAGTTGTCAAACAACACACAATCACACTTGCAGTAACACTTGTTCCAGACGGAGGAGAGATCAAGACCGTTGACGTGGCGAGGTCATGGCCACCGACAGTGGGCGAGCGAGGCGCACGCAAGTGGTTACTCTGAGATCAACCAGGCCAGGCCAGCTACAAGATAGTGCAGACTACGCAGCATGCATGATCCCGCGATGGACGACCTGGCTCGTTACGGTAGCCAGGATGGACAGCCGTGCCGTATCCTGGATATCCAGGGTTCTCGTTGTGGCGTGGGCCAGGTGCGTTGGGAGTGTACGCCGGCGGCGACGCATACGTCGACCCCAGCAGTGATGCCTGTTTGGCTTCGTGTGCCTACTCCCTCCCCGCCCCACCAGCCATACCGACCACATCCATCCCACCCGTCCCATCGGCCATAGCCATGACAGCAGCTGTGAGTGTTCCACGCCTTGCTGCACGTCGCGCACGTGCGGTTCCTTCCCCTACCGCCTCTCCTTCGCCCCCATCCGCCTCTACCTATGCTTGCCAGACACCGTACCTTGCCAGACATGTATGTATGTATATGAATATATGAATATATGCGTGTGTGTGTGGGGGGGGGGAGGGTAGGGTCGAGAGTGGTCTGGTGTTGTGTGCTCGCGTGTGCGGGGTGACCGGCTCGTTGGCGTGACCAACATGCCCCATGGCTCGATCATGCCCTGCCGCAGTGTGCCCGATCAGTCTCAGCCGTGGGCACACACACATACACATACACACACACACACACACACATACACACACACACACATACCGAATCGCAAGCAGTCACAACTGAACGCAGTTATCCATCAGGCTTCCATTGCCCGATCAAGCACGCCGCAGGGCCCGCTCAAGGCAAGCTTCTTACTGCCTCTGCCTGCTGCCTGACAGCCCATTCCGAGTCGCACTCGGCGGAACAGCTGGACAGCTGAACAGGGCACAAACACAGCCACAAGCCAAACACTGCACTCCCCTCCCCTCCCCCCCCCCCCCCCCATTCCATTTCACCCCCCTGCACGCGGCAATGGCTGACCTGCGGTGGTCCGACTCGTCGCTCATCGACATCACCGGCCCGGTCGAGGTCGAGACGCCTCAGGCTCAGGCTCGGCCGCCTGACAGCAGCACTACCACCGCCACCACAGCCAGCAAAGACAACAACGACGACATCACGCTCTCGCTTGACACGGCGAGTGAGACAGGTGGCGATTCGACTTTGGAGATCATCGATCTGAGCTCAGGGTCGCCGTCACGGCCGTCATCCCCGTCTACCTCGCTGCTGCTGTCGCCGTCACGGGTGCGGAAGCGGAAGCGGAAGCGGCGGCAGACACGCGAGTCTCTCGACACAGACGCTACCATCAACCTTGTGTCCGATGCTGAGCCTGAGCCTGTTGCTGTAGCTGAAGCCGATCCCGAGGCGACGCTATCATTCGTGGCCGATGCGGAGACGGACAGCTCACCGCTCAAGCGACAGAGGACGCTGATGTTGCCGAGTCGCGAGCCGGGCCCGGCGCCGGATCGGATCCGTGCACTGGTTGACTCGGAGACCCATGCTGCCGAGCTGCGGTTCCTCTGCTCGGTGTTGGGCGTGGATACGGAGTCGGAAGGCGAGGATCGGTTGGTCGCCGTACGAGATGCGCTTGTGGCCGCCAATTGGGACCAGGGCAGTGCGTTCGAGCAGCTTCGCCCTACCTCGCGGGTCGCTGGCGCCGAGCCGGCGGCGGCCTGTCTCATCTGCCTCGACGATTTGGACGGCGAATCGCTCTACTTTGCACTCGACACCTGCACACATCTGTTCCATCACGCTTGCCTCGCACAGCACATTGTGTTCAAGCTCGAGGCACTCGCGTTTCCGGTCTGCTGCCCGATGCCCGACTGTAGTGCGGAGCTTGCGCCGTCAGACGTCGAGAACCACCTCGAGCCCGACCAGTGGGCGGCGTACTGCTCCCAGTCGTTCGCGCACGCGCTTCGCGCGCCATCGTTTGTCCACTGCCCGACTCCCGACTGCCCGTTTGCCGCCGAGATGGATCTCCCGCCCCTGGCTAGCGGCTCAGGACCCGACGCCGGGAGCTACGTCGAGCTCGCATGCCCTGCGTGCGAGCAAACAAGCTGCGCCCGGTGCCAGCGTCCTGCCCATGCCGGCATGACGTGCGGCGCGGCCAAGGCTGCGGCGCTCGAGTCGCAGCTCGAGTCATCGATCGCGGGCCTCGGCATGCGGCAGTGTCCCTCTTGCAGAGTATGGATCGAAAAGGTGGACGGGTGTGACAAGATCCGTTGTCTGTGCGGCGCCAAGTGGTGCTTTGTCTGCCTCACGCCCAACGCCACCTGCTCGTGCACCTCGCGCGCTCACGGCTTTCACCCCGCATCGGCCGTCGTCACCAACTTTGGCCGCTCCACCGCATCCGAGGCCGCAGGCGCTAGCTCGGTCGCCCGCCGACTCCAGCGGCAGGCCTCGCTTCTCCGGCGTGCCACCTGAGGCGTCCATGCACCACCGTCGCCCTATTGTACTGTAGGGCCCTGCACGTGAAACACTACTATGTAAATTGGCTTTCAGCCGGGGAGAACGTCACTTTCGCGGACAATACGACGTCCACCCACGCGTTCCCCAGCCAAGCCGCACGCTGAGTCAAGCAAAGACGGCACACACCACTCGCTCGGGGCTTGGAGCGACATGGTGTCGTTCCATACGCTCCGAACATGCGGCCACACAACATTCATGCTCTTCTTTACCATCTTTGTAGTTGTGGCCTACATCCGTGTTGTCTATGATGGCCTCGCTTGGGCCGGCGTCGTCCTTCCGCTCTTCCTTGGTACGTTCGTCCGACTTGAGCCATTCAGCCATGTGACCATACAGCCATGCATGGTTTCATCACATTCCTTTTTCTGGCCCTCACACCAGGCCCTCACACCCTTGTCAACCATCATCGCCCATGCCCCCCGCCCCCTCCCCCCCCCTCCCCCCAACCACCACATCACCGCATGCCATACCATGCTCAATGCAGGCCATGCAGCCATTTGCCCTACCCCCATCCCCTTCCCCTTCCCTCCCCTGTCACTTGTTCGCTCCTCCGCAATGAAATGACACGATGCGAGACCGTAGCCCGCACCTCGCCTCCTTGCACTCACACGGATCAACGCGGCTTTCGGTGGCAACTCGTGGCGGCGGTTTGTGATGGCGACTCGTGGTGGCGACTCGTGGTGGCGATAGGTCTGGCGGTCGAGTCGGCGACGCTCGGCCACACTATTGCTCAGCTCTGGCCGTTCTTCAGGGTGGCCATACGGGTGCGGACTGGCCTGCTAGCGGCTATGTTTGTCCGCTTTCAGGCCTTTGTGTGGGTGGCAGCAGTGACGCTTGCGGTGGGCATGCTGGCAATTGTCGTGTCGGTCGAGAGCATGCACCCGGCGTGGGCGATGGCACCCATGTATCTACAGAGCTGTACCGCGCTCTTCCTATACTTGTGGATCAAGCGGGAGACCAACGACCGCATTTCGGTGGTGCGGACCCACGGCGTGTTGCATCTTTTTTCGCTTGCGCTCACCCTTCTCCTCACGTTCAAGACTACGTCTGCGCCGTACCTATCGTGGTGGATTGTGTTTTCCCCACTCTGGCTCCTCCTTGCCTCCGCCGTTGTCATCCTCATCTCGCTCATGTTCTACGTCTTCATGGTCCCTATCTCGCGGTGGCAGCGGCTCTACTTTCTCTCGCTCTACTGCCTCCTCATCGTCACTGTGGTCGTGCCGTGCACGGTCTGCCTGGTCATCTTCACAACAGGGCTCGACGCTGGTCTCGACCCGGGCTACCAGACCGCATTTGCGGTTGCGTTCTTCGAGCTTGTCGTCCTCTGGATCGCCTTTGCGGTGCTTGTGCGCTCCCAGCGCCGCGCGCGCCGCGCGCGCCAGCACGAAATCGAGGAGGCGCAAGCCGCGCTCGCGCGGGCGCTCGCTGCGCGGCTCGAATCGGCCCCGTCGGCGCCCGATGCAGGAGGTTCAGGCAGCTCACTGGTGGCGTCCACCACCACGCCTGGCGCGCCGGCACTCGAGTCGATCACCCGTACACCACAATCCCGGAACCGGATCGGCCCGCCGCCTCTCCCAGAAATCGCCATCTACGAGAGCGATAACGAGTTTGAGGCGGCCACCAACGAGACATGCGTCATCTGCTTTGACGACATGGCCAACACTATTCTGCAAGACTGTGGCCACAACCAGTTCTGCATCGCCTGCGCCAGACAGGTCCGTAAGTGCCCGCTCTGCCGCGCGCCTATTGTCGGCATTGTCCACCGCCTGCCTGAATCGGCCCGTGATGCGCCGTCGCGGCAGGCCCTGGCTGCCTTTGAAATGCACCTCCGCTACGAGCACCAGCTCCAGCGCCTTGCCCATGAGAACGGCAGCGCGCCGACACGTACTCCGCTTCCACGCATCCGTCGCCGCATCGGCCCGCTCGGCTCGGACAGCATCGCTCGCGAGGGCCACGTCCCGGCCATGGCCGCCCGCCACGCCGCCGTCTCGACCGACGAGTCGCCAGTCTCATCCACCCACGTTCGTTCGACTTCGCTCACCGCGTCGGACCGGACATCCGTCACTGTCGCAGGCTCTGGCCGGCGGACCACCCGAATCGACGAAGAGGCGCCGCACCCGCGCGCTGTCACCCCACGCCCAATCTTCTCACAGAGCTACATGGCCTCGCTGGCCGAGCGGAGCCGAACGCCCGACGGCGACGCCCTTGCCCGTTTCTTGGCGTACATGCCCATGGCCGCGGGCCTACTTCCCGACTCCGGCCACGACGACGACGTATCAGCCACTCCCAGCGAGCCGCAGCTCTTCTCGCTCGTCGGCGCCATCCCGCGGCGCACCCGTTCGCGCTCGTCAGCTCGCTCCTCGCGGCGCTCGTCGCTCCAGACCCCCAACCTTGTCCGCATCGAGTCTGCCGAGACCTCCGAGCTGGCATCGGCCATAGCGTCGGCCCTGGCCGACGCCGATCCTGATCACGCCGCTTCCCTTGCCGATCGCAACCGCTCGAGCGCCTCCCCGAGCCCGTCGTGCCGTCCAATTCGTCTCGCTCGGTAGAACTTGACCGCGCCGACAGCTCGCGGTCCAGCTCAGCCTCGCTGAGCTTGGTCCCGGATAGCGCTGACTCGGCCGACTCTTCCTGCCTCTCGTATGACTCGGATGCGCCATCTGACGTCGGCTCGCTCTCGGACTCGATTGCTTCAGCCCGCATCTCGGGGCGCTCATCAGACTCGGTTGTTGGTAACGTTTACGACTCGCCTCATATCATCAAGTACGGCGACCAAGCGTAGTCATACGCCCTTTCCCAGCAGCGCCGCCTTGTCGCGCATCCGCCTAGCCCGGATGTACTCGCGCTTTTGCGCAGACGTCATCTCCGACTTGCGCACGCCACGCAAGTGTTCTGGAAGCCATCCATCGTCGCGCTCGGCTCCATGCTGCCCAATAGCAGCTCGGGGCTGTGTCGGAGCCGGGGCTGAAGCCGGAGCCGGAGCCGGAGCCAGAGCCGAAGCCGGAGACATAGAGGTCCTCTCTGCCACTGGTGCCGCGGGCGCCGGTCCGAGTGCGGCCCTCTTGGCGCGCACATAGCGCCGCTTGTCAGCCTCACTGTACGTCGACTTGGCCCGCCGCAGGTCAGCTGGCACCCAGTCAGGGAAGGTCCGCCGCGGGCTTGCGGCCAGCTGCTCAGGTATCGATGTCGTTGCCGGTGCAGATGCTGGTGCCTTGGACTGGCGCTCTCTGGTCGCCTCCCCACCGTCAAGCGCCTCCTGTGATGCCTTAAACGCCCGACGTGCTCGAACATACGCCTTGCGCTCCGCCCGAGTCATCTCCGACTTGGCCTTGCCACGGAGCTCGAGAGGAACCCATGGCTTGTCGCCGTTGTCGTTGATGTCGGCGGCAACTTCTGCCGGGGCTGTGGCCGGGACTGGCGCCTCGGCTGCCGCCATCCGCTTCCGCGACTTGGAGCGCAGCCGCTTGTCACCAGGCAACTTGCGAACCATTTCGACGCTTCCATCGCGATGCTTGATGCGGTACCACTTGGAACGCTGGCCCGGCTCGACCGAGCTGGCGCGCCCGCGGCCAGATGACGACGATGATGACGACGATGACGACCCGCCGTCTGAGCTTGCGTCCTCACTCACACCTTCACCCAATCCCGAGCCGCCACCAACGTCTGCATCAGTCCCAGGGCGTGCCTGTGCGGCCTTCTTGCTCGACTCGAGACCGTCCGGCTTGCGGTCGACAATCTCGACGGTGCCGTCGCGATGCGTGATGCGATACCGCTTGCGCTTGGTGCTACTCGCGCGAGCGCGTGGCAGCGGCGAGTCGGGTCCAGCGCTCATTGAGGACGCACGAGCGCGGGCTCGCGACAACGAGCGCGACGCTGACCGTGGCCGCACGCCCTTGGGCTTGCTGTCGAGAATCTCGACTTCGTGGTTACGGTGGTAGACGCGGTAATGCTTGCGCCGAGCCGGCGACGCCGACACTGGACCGGAGCTATGATCGCCTTCGCCCGATATTGCTCGCGGCAGTGCCGAGACTGATCGCCGCCGCGGCTTGCGTGCCACAATGACCACAGAGCCATCACGCTTGTGGACACGGTAAAGCTTGCGCCGCTGGCTTGTCACCGACTCGGCGCCCGGAGACGCTGCCTGTGGCTGGCTGTGTCGCGGCATCTTTCCGGTAGTGTGCGGACCATTCTGCGACGGCGACATGATCTCGCGACGGACCGGCGACCGTGACTTGGACCGCTGCGCCAAGGCAGGACTACGCGCACTGTCGTGACCACGTGGACGACCGCGCGGGCGACCACGGCCACGGCCACGGCCACGGCCACGACCGCGACCTGATCCACGAGCCTTGCGCGGCGAGGATCGGCCCTTGCGCGGCGAGACCGACCGTGGCTCGGCGAGCGCTGCAATGCGCTCTTGTCGCGCCCGTTCGGCAGTCTGGCGTGCGGTGGCAAGTTCGGTCCGCAGCTTGGTGTTCACCCGTTTGGCTTCGGCCAGCTCGTCTTCAAGCACAGTCACCTGGGCTGCCGACTCGGCCTGGGCAGCCAGCAACTCATACTCGTCGCGATCGAGCTCGACCACACCAGCGCGTCGCGCGACCGCCTCATCGGCAGCGCGAGCGGCTGCCTCGGTGTTGGCACGAGCGGCGACAACCTCGTTGACAAGGTCGTGGTTCTGAGCCTGCAGCACAGCGAGCGCATCTGAGAGCTGCGCATCATTCTCGCGGGCAGTCTCTCCGTCTCGCACGAGAGCCTCAAGCTCTTCCTGGGCCACTTCCAGCTCTGCTTCGGCGGCGGCAGCCTTGGCAGTCACCGCGGCGAGATCGGTCTGTAGAGTCTCGGCGCGAGCAGCTGCAGCATCACGCTCGGCCTGAGCGGCATCGCGCTCGGTCTCTAGGTCCACAAGCTGGTCAAAGAGCTCGTGGATCCGCGACTCTTCGAGCGCGACAATGCCTGGGCCAAGGCCAGATTTCGGTGCCGGGGAGGACAGCGCGCTAGCGTCCGAGTCAGCGGCACGGATGGCGAGGACATCGACCGAAGCCTGCATGACCGAGATGAGTGCATCCTTCTCGGCATGGAGCATAGAGAGCTCACGAATGAGCGCGTGTGCTGCAGGTAGAGAGTCGGGCAAAGTGTCGGCAGTAAATGAGTCGCAAGCCTCATACACAGGCTCAGGGGCTGTAACAGGAGGCGCCGCGCGACGGACGACTTCAGCCTCGTCCTCCAGTGCGGCGATTCGAGCGTACGCACCACGTAGCTCGTCTTTGGCATCATTGTACTCACGGCGGAAACCCTTCATCTGCTTGGAGACCTTGACCAGCAGGGCACGCGAGTCGGCGAGGCACTGCTTGAGGTCGTCGCGGTCGCGGGTGACGGCGTCGAGCTCGGCGCCAACCGACGAGAGCTCAGCAGTCAGGTCCTCGACATTTGCGCCCAGGACGGCGTTTTCAGCGAGCAGCGTGTTGCGGGCCGAGTCAAGGGCGGCGTCGGCCGAGTCTGCAGCGGCGGTTGCGGCGGCGGCGCGTGCGTTGAGGCTCGTGATTTGAGCGGCGAGCTTGGCGTTGGCGGTTTTGAGCTCGGAGCGCTCGGCACGGAGCTCGCGAAGGGTAGCGTTAAGGGCAGCTACCTGCTCGATTGACTCGTTGGAGGCAAAGACCGAGGTCTCGAGTTCGGCGCGCTGATCGTCAAGCTGGACTTCGGCCATGCGCCACTTTGTGCGGGCCTCCATAACTTCCAGTGAGGCTGCGGCAGTACGCGCAGCAAGGCGAGCCTCTGCACGTTCAGCACGTTCGAGTGCGGCATCGCGCTCCTGGCGCACTTCACCGATGGTGGCGGACTTTGCGTCCGAGGCCTTGGCAGCGCGAGCGAGCTTCTCGGTGAGAGCGACGACCTTGGACTTTGCCTCGTTGGCCTCGGCCTTGAGCTCGGGCCAAGCACGCCACATGGCGCGGAGCTTGCGGTAGTGGTCTTCAGTCCAGCCGAGTGCCTCTTCGCGCGCTCGCAGCCTGTCTGCCAGTGCATCGAGCTCTGCCTCGCGCTGGCGTGCGTCACGGGCCATATCGGCGGCAAGCGACTCGGCTAGTGACTCAAACTGGGCCTTTTCGGCCTTGTGGGCCTCAAACTTACGCTCAAAGAACTCATTGTCCAGTCGCTTCTGCAGCGCCGTCGTCTTCCGCATCAGCGCGCGATACTTATCCGCCGCCGCCGCCGACTTTTCCTTCTCGACACCCACCCTAGCCTCGGCCTCAGCCGCCCGCGCCCGTGCCGCCCGCGCCTCGGCCTTGTACGACTGTCCGCCCACCCCACACCCCGCCGATCAGACCATCCATGTCCATCATACTCTGTCAGTCAGCGCACCGCATCGCCCTCCCTCGGCCCCTGCCCCTGCACGTACCTCGACCAGGCGGACAAGGGCTTGACAATCTTCGTCGGTGTTTCCCGCCATCAGAGTGGACATGGGTGGTGAGTGATGGGCAGGCGGGCTAGAGGTAGAGCCCCTCCTACCACTGGTTGCACTGCTGCTGCGGCGCAGCAGCTCGGCCTCGTCTTGGCCCAGGTGACCAACACCCGACAGGTCGTTGGCGGCAAAGAAGGCCTCCATACCCCCCAACGTATCCGCGTGTGGGATTAGAGACAGAGGTGGAGGAAGTGTGGCTGGTGTCACCAACGCACACAGGTCGTGGGTCTGGTGTCTGGTATGGGGAGGGGAGGGGTGGAGGGGAGGGGGGGGGGGGTGACGGTGACGAGGGAGGCGGTGGTCGACTTGGCGCCAACGAGTTCCAAGTCGGAAGCAATCGACCAACCGAGTCAGTCACTCCCCGCATCGGTGGCCACCAACCGTCACCAGCCACCAGCCACCAACCACCAACCACCAGCCACCGCTACCGCCACCGCCACCACCACGCCACCGCTACCACTACCGCTACCGGCACTTCTCCCCCCCCACCCCACCACACACACTCATACCCAACACCCATATCCATACCCACACTCATACACATTCGCATAGCCGTACACTATCTCTATGGCTGAGATAGACCTGTCCATTGCAGAGCTGGAGGAGGAGCTGGCCGCCCTCTCCGTCGCCTACGCCTCGGTCAAGCACGAGCCGGTGGTGGTCGAGCAGAGTCTTCGCCATAGCCACGACTACGCCCATGGTTACGGCCACGGTCATGACCATCATATACGCTCCTCGGGCCTGGGTGACACCCGCCCGCCCCCTCACGCCCAAGACCTGGCTGACTCAGCCCCGCCGGACGTCTGGTTTCACGACGGGGACTCTGACGCCGCAAGTGCTGCTCTGTCGGTGCTGGCGGCTTCGGCTGGACCACCTTCTCTTGCTGCACATCCGTCCCAGCCAGAGCCTCAGCCAGAGCTGACCCGCTCTGCCGTTGAGATCGAGCTGATCAGAGTCCGCGAGCAGATCTACCTGCGCAACGAGGAGAAGCGCAAGGCGCAAGACGCCGCCCGACCGACTGACAAGGGCAAGGGCAAGTCTAAGGACAAGCTCAAGGCCAAGGGAAAGGGAAAGGCCAAGTCTAAGTCCAAGTCCAAGTCCAAGTCCAAGTCCAAGTCCAAGGGCGGCAAGTCCGAAGCCAAGAGCAAGGCCAGTGATCACGCAACACCCAAAGGGACGGACAGTCGCAACAGCCTGCGCCGCCGCGGACGGAAGCGGATCCACGTCTCGGCCCGCGATGCAAAGTCTGGCTCGGGATCGTCGAGCCCACTGTTCTCGTCGTTCTCGATGACGGCGTCGTATTCGGTCTCAGTCTCGTCGCCGTCCGAGCCCGCGGCCGACGCCGGATCCTCCGGAGCCGCCGATCCTGCCGCCAGCGGCCAGATGCCAGCCGTGAGCCCTCCGACCGACGCCTGCGTATGCGACCCTTCACCCACTGATCCTGCGCTTGCCGCGTCTCGGCCGGCAGAGTCGGCTGCTGCCGCGTCCGAGGCCAACCCCGTCGCCGATGCCGATGCCGATGCCGACGCTTCACCGCCGGTGGCACCGCCTCGGACTGCAGTGCGTCTTCCCCAAGAAGCCGAGAAGACCGAGCCAGACGAGCCAGTATCGGCCGAACTCTCGTTTATCGAGCTCGGACGGATGGTACAGAGCGAGTGGCGGGCGAGCAACGTGGGACGGGCCATGGAGCAGCGTGTTCTGTCCAACGGAAGCCGGCGGTTCGGCCTGCTGGAGGCACCGCCACTTCCACCGACTACCATGGTGACGGCAATGGGTATGCCGCGGGCGCAGCCGACTGCCCGGCTCACGTCGCGGATTGTGTTGCTTGGCGCAGCCAAGGCCGGCAAGACAGCAACGGTCCGGTCCATCCTGGGCACAACGCCAGCCGACGCTGACAAGCGCTACATCCCGACTCGCGGCATGCAGACCTCGCGCAAGTTCTGGATGGCGTGCAAGTCGCGGAACGAGCAGGTCATCCTCCTCGACCTGCGCTTCGTCGACGTTGGCGCCACCGCCGCCACCGCCCACCGCAGCTATCTGCAGACCGAGCAGAGGACGCTGTTTGCGCTCCCGCGCACCGTCATGATGCTTGTCTTCTCGGTTGCTGACCGCGCATCGTACACCGCTGTCCTCACGATGCTCACTCAGTTTACCACCGTCTCGGCCATCAAGATCCTAGTCGCCACTCATCGCGACGTCGCGGCCGACAAGATCGTCGTCTCCACCGACGAGATGCTGGAGCTGTCGCGGTCCCGTGGCATCCCGCTCTACTTTATGTCCAACACGGCCTCACTGCATGCTGCTGCTGCCGCTGCTGCTGCCGCCACGGCCACGTCGGCACAGCTGCAGCCTGTCGCGGGCCCTGTCGCTTCCTCCCCGGCCGCACCCGCTCCGCTTTCTGCCCACTCGCGCGGCACGGTCATGAGCATGGACGAGGACGGCTCAACCGAGCCAAACACACCCCGCCGCGACTCTCGGACTCCGACTGAGATTGCCGCCGCTGCCGCCGCCGAGATCGTCGCCGCCCAGCAGTCGGCCACCGCTGCTGCTGCCGCCGCTGCCGCCCAGCAGTCGGCCGCTGCTGCCCAGTCGGCCGCCGCCCACGACGTCGAGCTGCTCCTTAACGGTATCGCCGAGCTCCTCGTTCGCCAGCAGCAGGATACCCAGCTCCGTCAGCTGGAAATGATCATGGCCCAGCAAGCCACCACCGCTGCCAACTAAGCCTGTACGGTTCAGTCACCAGGGCGCTTTGATGCGCGTCCCCAAAGTGAACGACGCAGTGCATGACCAACCCCCTCGTCGCCGGACCGTTCCCCTCGCTTGCCCTACCACCACCCTCCCAGGCGCAAT